TTTTTTTTTTTTTTTTTTTTAAATTTGTGAGTTCAATGCAGAAATGTGTTTGAGGGGTGTAGGAGTAGGACATCTCACTGACTGGCTTTAAAAAGGGTCTCTGGACTGCCAACGCTGCCTTCTAGTCTGCTATAGCTTTCACTTCTTTTGGGGGGACTTGTGCACCTGTAAACGTCTACGCCAAGTCTTGCCGTGCGTTATTGCCATGGAGGTCAGCTGAAGTCCAGGATCTCGGTTCAGTTCAGAGTGTTACCCAGACCGTTGAATGCATGAACGCACCGTGGCATGTGCTGCCGCTCTCCCACCTGGTGCTCACTGCTCTGTTCCGTATACCAGCTGGAGGGCCCTTGTTGATAAAGCGTTAGCGTCTAGTATTGTTTGCCTTGTTTCCAATCTGTAAAAGTTTGTGGGAGTGTCAGATGAGTTGGGTGTCTCCTCCCCTCCCGCTTCCTGAAGCAGTTTGCTGTTTGGACTTCTCTGAACAATGGAAGGGTTAGTGGCTTTGTGTGGGATCAGCGTCTTGTGTCACACACCTGCTGGTCTCTGAACACATTCCTGTTGTATTAATGAAGACTTGAATTGAGAGATTCATAGATCTGTGGTGTTCAGACACAGGATACTAAGAGCTATGTTACTATTCTTAGTTTGTAAATTGTCCTTTTGATACCATCTTGTTTTCTTTTGTAGGTATAAATAAAAACACTGTTGTCAATAAATTGTGAACTTTGTCTTTATTTGTGGCGTGTAAAACCGTCTTTGCCCCTGTTCTTCCCAGTTCTTAAAAAAAGTCAAATTCAAGGAGTTGGAAACACCTGTTGGCAACCCACTGGATTTTCATTGAAATGATCCCCTTTTGCCGAATAGGAGGAACCGTTACTGACAGTGAGTGGGGAGGATGTTTGAATTGGAAGATTGGCGTCGTTCAAAAGGAATGTATTTTTCCTGAATGTTACAGGACTTGAATAGAGCGGGGGTCAGGCAGAGTTAACTTTCAGGAGGATGTTGGTTCATACGGAGTTAAAGTAGTCATTTGTAGCATCTGCTGTGGCAGATGTGGCCACGTGTGAAATGGGTCCGTGGCCTTTGTATGTGTTACCAGACTCAACGGTACCCTGTTCCCTTTACCGTAGGCCCTCGCTAAAGGGCTGAGGGAGTAAAGGTAGTGACAATTTCCCTTACACTCCTTGTGCTGCCTCAGGGTCAAGGTAGAGGCGTGTGTTGGAGGTAGATGCTGGGAAGAGCCGGGAGAGAATAATTTGCACTACTTCAGTATTGGCCAGCACTACTTACGAGCACCAAATTCAAGTAAGAAGAAATTTTAAAAAATGGAGGGAAAGTCTCATCTGGATGAAAAGCGTATCAGCTTTCCAGGCCTCGTTGTCTTCCTGGCGCTGGAGTGAAACTCGGCCGAGCCATCCGTTGGTCAAAGAGGGCCAGGAAAGGAAAGCTGTCATCTTAAGAGCTTCATCTTGGGAATTTCTTGCGTTGTCTGTGGAAATGTCTTCAAACAGGCATGGGAAGACTTAGCTTCTTTCCTTTTAGGACTGTGCAAAGAGAAAGAGAAGGTAATGAAGGAACTTTGGGCAATTCAACTGTTTCATTGTTTCAACAAAACATTTTTTTTTTTTTTTAACTTGCTATTTAGAGTGCCAGGTAGCGGGCTGCCAGGTTTGCAAACGGCAACGAGACGATGGCTGTCCTCCCTGTGCCACTGTAGGCTAGTGGGAATAGAGTTGTGCTGTCGTCAGGTAACGCAACTGCTTGTCCTCAGCTGCGGCTGCCCTAACAGCTCCTGAGGTCCTGTTCCTTGTGGAAGGGGCATCCAGGAGAACGTGGCGAGAAGGGTAAAATGAAGGAATCCCGAGAATGGGAGAACCTGTGATCCTTGATGGGAGACAGCCACTACAAAACTGATTCTGCGGGGGGAAACTCAACCTATTTATTCTCCTTTATGCTGAAGGAAAAGGGTCTTGTTTTCAATTCCGTGGTTACTCTTTCTCACGTGTGGACCCTGCTAACTTCCCCATTTTTTCCTTGATGACGTAGTATGGAGTCCACTGTTCTATCCCCAGCGCTCTCCCCCTCCTTTTAATAGCCTGAATAAATGGCCTGTGGCCAGACCCCCCCGAGCTCGCGTGAGGTGGATGGAGGAGTGGCTGCCCCGGCCGCATGGTGGTCAGCAGCGCGGAGTCCGGCCGTCGGCCGGGTGCTGGTGGTTTACCCTGGGGTGGGAACTGGGGCCGGTACTGCTCGGCAGCACCAGGGTCCGGTGCCAGAGGGGAGGGCAGTGCGCGCCCTCAGCAGTTTGCCGATGGGGCACAACGGAGGGGAGCGGCTGAGGGACCAGATGGGGTCAGAGGGACCTCATGAAGGTCAGCAAAGGGAAATGGGGTGGAACAGCCCCGTGCACTGGGGGCTGCCCAGCTGGAAAGCAGTACGAGAGACAGGGACGTACTGGAACAAGTCCAGAAAGACCACGAGGGCGGTTAAGGGACTAGGGCATCCGATGTAAGAGCGCAGGCTGAGAGCTGAGGCTGCTCAGCCTGGAGAAGGCCGAGAGGGATCTTCTCTACGTGTACAAGTGCCTGATGGGGGGAGTAAAGGAGCCGGAGCCGGACTCTGCTCAGTGGTGCCCAGTGACAAGGCATGGGGCAATGGAAAATTCCACGTAAAAGTAAGAAAAAAATTTTTTTACAGGGAGGGTGGTCAGACGCTGGTACAAGTTGCTCCATCCTGGAGATACTCAAGACCTGACTGGACAGGACCTAGAACAACCTGCTCTAGGTGACCCTGCTGTGAGCAGGGGGGTGGATTAGACGATCCCCCGAGTTGCTCCCAACCACAGCTGTTCTGTGAAATACAAGCTTTTGGGAGCTGAAAGCTTCCTCGGAATACCTTTCAGGTCCTTGTGTTAAACAGAAAGGAGCTCATCTAGTTTTGAAAACAAGATAAAGAGAAGTTGTGTTCTATAAAAATCCCTTTACAATGCTTTGGTATGGGCTCTGAAGTCCTATTAAATACACTTCTTTATGTAACACATCTTTGCTTTTTTTGCAGCACCGCTGCCCTTTTGTCTGAGCTCTTCTGTGTTAGAAATGTTTTGAAAAGATGTTGAAGGTTTGGTGGGGTTTTTTTGGTTGGGGTTTTTGATCCAGAACATTTGTGTAAAAGAAAAAAAAAAAAAAAAAAGGCAATTCTCCTCCTGCTGTGATGTCCCAGGGACAAATGTTTTTTCTTCTGCCTCCTGTATCATCTAAATTTTGCAGCTTTATCACCAGCGATGCAAGACTGAAAGCCAGCAGTTGTTTTTTCCCCCCTTTTGTTCCACCATCCGCAATTACAAAGGGTATGGATTTCTCACAAAGTACAGGACGCAGGACACGTGAATTGAGTGAAGCTAAAATGGGAATTAGTTAAAAAAAAAAAAAAAAAAAAAAAAAGAATTGACGTGGAGCACCTTGATGGCAGTTTTACAAAGTACTTCTCTGGCTACAAAAATGTTTTAATAACAGAAGGAAGTCTTCATCTGCCAAGGGCAGCCACCTGCTCAGTGCTCCTGTCGCCTCTCTGTCAGCAGGTATATTGCATGAAGCTACCGTGCAGATAGCTGGATAAAGATCCATCCCTCGAAACATCAAACGCGGGACGTCACTACTGCTTTTGGCAGGCTACTTCGGGAATGTGAAGAAGGAAAAAAATATTTGTTCGCTCAGCTAGATTTCATCGATTTCCATCCTCCTCGACAGAAAAGTGTTTTAAAGCGTACTTCAGCCTCGGCAAACCATAGTGTATTCTACCAGATTTTATGCCCTTGATGCACTTGTTAGCGCTGGTATGTAGCCATTTACCAAAGCGTGGCGGTGAAGTGAAAGGGGCATCTGATTTTGGGAAACAGAAGGGGGTGTCTTGTCCGTGCAGATGCCCATCTTCCTACAGAATCAGTTCTTAGGAACGTTACATCTTTTCCCTCAAAAGAAAAAGTAGACTTAATAATATCTCCATATGTCTGCAGTTGCTTTCTCAGGTACATTGTCTGCCTACAGCTATTTTTTTCCCCCTCAAAGTTTTTTTGTGTGATTCATAATCTTTCAAAATGTACGTAGAATTGAATATACCTCAATTGTTAACTTCCCAAGGTGGGGTTAAACCAGGCTTAGCTCTGGTTTAACATCTGCTTTGTTTCACATGCACATCTAGAGCCTTGTGAGCAGAGATGCCCACTTGCATTCAACAGATGTTTTTTAAACTGGATTTTAGTTTAGATGCACTGGACAATGTGCATCACGAATACAGCAAAGAATAAAGTCACGTGAGGATTAACGCATGGCAAGCTGCAGCTCCACCCTGTCTTGCAAGAGTGCTCAATGAACGTTCTGGATTTATACCAACCCCTTCACCTACCTTTGGTAACGTAGAGATAGAAGAAGTCACAGTAGAAGATGGTTTGTACCACCCCAGAAACTACAGCGATCTGGTCATAGAAATTTTCCGTGTAGTAGCGCCAGACCCAGTTGGCAATGTAGAGAGCACGGTAGAGGCCCAGGAAGAAAAGGTAGTGTGTCGTGATGGTCTCTGCTTCCCCCGTCTTGCTGATCATGAAGAGCTGAGGAAGGATAGCCACGGACTCCAGGTAGATGGAGAAGGTCCAGAGTATCTGTGAGACGCAAAATGAAGGCAGTGGAGAGTCTTGGTGCTGACTGATACGCGTTAAGAGCCAAGGCTTTAATTTGGCAGGGCATCGATATGCGAGGGGGATGAGTAGTGCTGCTGGAGTTGGAGAAAATGAGCCTGCTGTCCTAAGACTGAGAGGAGACAGCGCTGAGCTGCTCTATAGATGGTCCTCAAGGCCTGCCAACCTTGCCTTTCCTGCCTGCTTTTGCTGTTAAAAATCTCAACCATTCAACACGCTGCTCGCTCTGCTGCATGGCTGCTGCTTCCCCGCCCCTTTCCTGCCTCGGGTTTTCCTTACCTCCAAGGGGGTGAAGCTGTGGTTCTCCAGAAACGACAGGCCTGTGACAGGGACCAGCAGGAACTCAAGGCGAAAGGAGTCATTCTCGCTGTCAAATGTTTTCCGGAATTTCACGTAGATCATGTACACGGTGATGTAGGCACATATCAAAAAAATGACCTGGGGGAGGGAAGGGAGATGGCAAGACCTTACCTGCAATTACACCGTCTGTGCTTGAAGAGAGGATGGCTTTGCCAAAGTCAAGATCTTTTAACCCAGTTCTGGTGGGGCCGTGCCAGGGTGAGATAGTGGTAAATGCTTTTTTTCTGCCCTGGCTGGTGGATTGACTTCTGCTGGAGATACTCCAGCGGGCAACTGAAGTTTGCCCCGCCATGAGGATCACACTTTCTTGAGCCCTCTGTGCAAAGAGGCTGGCTTGGCGGCAGCCGTCTGTCACTGCTCCTGCTGTGCCGGACACCCAGGCCTTGATTCATGATGTCTTGTTCTGGTTTTGGTGGTACTAAATGTGGCGGGCTCAGCTCGCTCACTGACCGTGGTGAGGGGTTTTTTGGCCAATGGAGGGCCAATGACACCAAAGGAAGCATCTTTATCCACCCTTCATATGTATAACCCCCTCTAGCGCTGGTGACAAGTGAAGAAGGTGGAATTGCTCCTTCTTCCCTCTGGCTGAAAAAACTTAGTGAATGCGTACTCTCACCTCCCCGAGAAACCACGGTGAGCTGAGGGGAACCTCTGCTTCCGCACTGCCCTCTCCTTACCTTCATCACGGTGTTATAGACAGAGATGAAGGTGGTGAACAGGTCCAGATAGCGGGTTGTGAAGACAAGGGCGAAAAGAATCTGACTCTTCCCAGAGATACCTGCGCAGCGGGGAGAAGAAAGGAAGGTAAGGCAGATGAGAGGAAGGACCCTTAGGACAGTGGTTTCCCCTTTCGCCGCCTTTGGAAGTGGTTGTATATATGTGTTTTGCTTTGTGAGCCTGGTCTGGCATGTAGGTGCTGCGGTAGCTCTAGACCTACCCCAGAACTGGCCGGGGTCTCCCAAGCAACAGGGCAGGCTCCTGCTGACGCCACCGAGCCCTGCCTTGCGTTGTAGGGACGAGCGCTCGGTGGGCGCGTTCACTGCTTTGGCCAATTCAGTCCATACTGTCATCAAAATGCCTTTCTCTTCCCTCCCTCACCCCCTTCCCCTGCCCAGGGGTTGTGCGATGCAACATCTGCCCCACCAGGGAAGAGCTGCGGGATCAGGGACCAGCCCAGGGACACTGGTGGAGCTTAGCCACCGCTGGCAGGGAGAGGCAGGCAGACCCAGCCGTTTCTCTACCTGTGCTGATGGCCACGGTGCTGCAGCCCAGCCCCAAAGTCTCTTGGGGAGGAAACCACGAACTTTGAGCAAAATCCTCTTGCGGGAAGCTGCTGCCCTGATTTCCTCACCCAGGGACGGGGCAGCCTCTGGTACCTGCCCGCCTGCTGGCAGGACCTCCGACCTAAAGCAGCTTTCTCTCGAGGTCGTCGGTTTTGGTGCCGCCACAACTTTTTGCGCTCGTTTTCCATCTCCCTCCCGCCTTGCTGCCCTCCCCTTTGCTTCACCACCCCGACACCAACACCTGCCCGATGTTGCCACATCACATCCTTCCAACGCAGCCCTCTCCTCCTGGCAGGGAGACCTCCCGGAGGAGGATGACTTCTTTCAAAGAGCCCACTGGGGAGGGCTGCCAGCTTGCATGGGCTATTGCTAGCCTTTTTGGCACCCGTTTCTCTCGCACCCCTCGCTGAGCTGCCCTCCGAGAAGGGCCTCCCTCCTTCCCCAGGGCATGGGAGCACTCACCGGCACAGGACTTGGACTTCTGGATCTTCAGGAGGAGGATGATGATGGCCAGCAAGTGGGAGACATCCCCCAGGATGCGGAAGACGTTCATGGCGCTGGGGGGGCTCTTCGGGGGTGAAGGGAGCGGGGCAATTTCTGCAGGCAGGGAAGGCGAGGGCAGGGAGTTTTTCCCCCTGAACCTTGACCAAGCGAACGCTCTCCTCCAGCTCAACTTTCCTTTTTTCCCCAGTACGGAGCCCTCTCTTCTGGCAGAGAAAAGTTCAGGCTCCCCTCTCCCCTGGTCACAAGCTCCTTTCCCCTGCCGGGCGCTCAAGCTGGATGTCTCCTTTGCTTACTTTTCCCCCAAGTTGGATTTTCTCTCTCTCCCCCCAGGGCTTTCCTCTCCCTGCTCCAGGCCGAAAGTTGGGGTTTGCCCCCTGGAGAGCCCCAGGCTGAGCCTGGTGAGCAGCCCCGAAACCAGCGCTGGGTGACGGTGACGTGGCTCCTGGCTGGCCGGGGAGGAGAGGGAGGAGGAGGCGGAGGCAAGAATAACTGCGCGATTTTTCCCTTTTTCTTTTTTTTTCCCTTCCTCTTTTTTCTTCCCAAACTTGTCTCAAGTTACACGCGGAAGTGTCGTTAAAGGGGAAAAGGCAGAGGGAAAGGGATCCCCATCCTCTGGCCTTGGGGATGCTCCCTCCGGCGAGGGCTGGGCTTTCCAGGGACGTTCCCCGTGGGCACGTTAACCTCTGTCCTGCTCCCAGCTGGCAGCCTCCTGCCTTCTGCCCTTCCTGGCCCCGTCCTGCTTCCAGCACCTTCTCCCTGGTGCTCCACCTTGTCTCCTGGAGCAAATTAAGAAGTCGGGAGAGATCTGAATTATTGGGCCGCTACGGCCGTCTGTCACATCCCACCCGGACCCCCTCCCTCCCACGGCAGGTCATGGGCAGCCGTTCCCTGGTGGCCCCCCACCAGCCACCCCCACCTTCGCGTGTCCTGGCTGGAGCAATGCGGATCCCAGAGCCCAGCCCTGGAGGAAAAAAAGAAAGATCCTCCCAAGGGCTGGTTTGAAACAAACTTCACTGAAAATATTAATCCTAGATTCCTGCAAGTGGATTACAAACAATGTAATGCATGTGTTGGGTGAAAGAAGCACATAGGTACTGCCATTTTTATAGATTTAACAGAAATTAGCTTAGTAGTGTTGGTTATAAAGTTTTAATATATTCAGAAACAGCCCTGGTCACCCAGGGCTTGTTCCTTGCAGCTGCGGTTATGCAGGGAGGTCTCACGGCAGCGTGAGGGGACCTCTGCATCAAGACGGGGCCGTTAGATATTCATTATCTAATCACTAATATAAAGCTGCTTTAATACAACCAAATGGATGTTTTAATTTGTCACCTCGTCCCCAAGCAAATCGCATCTGGCCGCGGGTCTATTTGGTTACTCAAGGGTTGCGTGACCCGGGCTGCTCTTGCCCCAGAGGCTGGCTCTGGCTGCCACCCTCCCTGTCCCCACGCGGCCATCTCCTCCACATCTCCCTCCATTGGCACGTCCTTATGGGCTTGCTTGGAGTAAAACCCTTAATGATTAAAGCATAAAAATATTATTCCCGGTGCTTACAGAGAGGACTAACAAGTCTATTAGCATCACCGGATTCCTTTCTGAATACATTTGCATACATTTCCTCTCTGCCCATTAGGCTGGCTGCTGTGTTTTCCCTCTCTGCTGCTCTAGCACCTGCCACACCGGGCTTTTCCAGCCGCGTTCCCAGGCTGGAATGGAAAACACCCGCTCGGCCCCGCAAAACCGGGGAGGGCCCTGCCTGCCCCTGCCAGGGCACGAGGCAGAGGTCGGTGCAGTGGGAGAAGAGCAGGTTAGACCAAAGGAGAGCGTCGGCAAAGGAGTGGCGGGGTAGGGACTAGATGAAATTGGGTTTCCAGCCATCAGAGCAGAGCCGCCTGGGGTTTCAGCAGGGCTCTGCAAGGCCATGCAGGTGCCAGTGAAAGCCAAGCCCCAGCCCCGGTGGCCCAGCAGCTCCCTGGTGTCCCAGGTCCTTTCGCAGATGGGTAGAAAGAGGTTTGAGCCATGGAGCGGGGATGGGAGGTTCTGCGGGAACAGATTTAGGGTCCTCTATGCCAACAGATCACCTTCCAAGTCCCTGGGGCTCAATATCTGAGAGCCCTTGTCATCCTCCGGTCCCTCCCCTCCTCCTCACAGCTTCTTGTCCCACCCAGGGGATGATGCCTCCTGCAGAGGGGTAAGACTGTTGTGAGTGGCAAAGGTTTATTCTCTTCATCTTCTGCCTTCCCATGAAGAGCTGATGGGCCCCAAGCCACGGCCTTTATCTCCTGATGTGGCACCAGGAACCGCCATGTGAGGTGACTGTCAGAGGGACTTCACGGGAGCAGCTCAGCCGAGCTCACCCAGCTGGGACAGTGGTGGGGCTGGAGTCTGCCCATGGGACATCCCCATGCGGCACGCAGGAGGGCCATGGGAAGGCTGCTGGGAGGGCGAGGGCCACCTGGACACTTAGAGAAGGGAAAACTGGCACATGAAGTGGGAGCAAGTAAAAATAAACCTTCCCTCCTTGCCACAACACGAAGCACCTTGCACCGGGTGTCTCCCTGCCTCCTGAAATAATGCCGGGCGCTGCCACCGCCCCACACGGTGATGCTCTCTCCATGCCTCCTGTTTCCATGGCGACCGCAAGGAATGTCGCCAGGGTGACAGGGAGGCGAGTGAGCTGGGATTTGGCATTAAAAATGGGAATTTGGGGTTGTTTGGTTTCTTTTTTTTTTTTTTTCCTCTTTAGTTCTATTTTTGGGTTTCCCTCTCTGCCTTCGCTGGTCTGGGAGGCTCCTTCTCCTGCAGAGCCCCTGGTCCAGGCAGCAGCAGCTCCATCAAGGGCCCTTCCCCACCTCTGCCTGTCCTGCGAGGCGATGGCGCGAGAAGACGGGAGAAGGGGGTTTCCTTCTCACTAAAGCATTAGTGTCCTGCCACCAGGACGGCTTCCATGCTTTTGCCCCCGCAGGTGCTTGGCCGGGAGGCCCCCTCCATTTCTGCTGCAGGCTGTGGCTCAGGCCGCATCCAGACCCCCCCAGGAGGGCAGGCAGCCCCCAGGATTCATCCCAGAGCGGGCCCAGAGAGGGAAGTGATTCGGCATTTTGGCATTCCTAGAGGGGCTGGGAAGCATGGTGGGGTTGAGCACCATGGGCCACCTCCATCCCTCACCACCTCTGCCCCCGTGACCAGGAGAACTCGGCCGGGGCAGTCCTGGTGCCCTGGGGACAGAGATGGGATGGTCGGAGTAAGATGGCAGAGGGAGCCTGTCAGGTGCTAAGGAGTCCAAAACTGTGTTGCCTGGTTTAAACACTCAAAGTCGGACCTGCCCAGGGCAGAGAGGGCTTGAGGGCTTCTGCTGGCTTAGCTGGTGTTTCAGGAAAGCGGGACCATATGTGCCCAAGCAGGGGCTGCTGGCATGGGGGGTGCACTTGTCTTCATCCCCAGGCAGGAGAGGGGTCAGGCAGCACTTGCTCACCTTCCCAGGAGCTCCTGCTTCCCCCTCCATCCACCCCTCCATCCCTCTTCATCCATCCACCCCTCCATCCATCCTTCCATCCCTCTACCCCTCCATCCATCCCTCCAAACATTCCTCCCTTTATCCCTCCATCCCTCTTGCCCTCCTTTCCTCCATCCCTCCATCCAGACCCCCACCCTTCCATCCCTCTGTCCCTCTGCCTCCCCCATCCCCACAGCAGCATCGGGAAAGGTTGGCGGAGTGGGGCTATTTTTGGGAGCGTCTCCCTGGCAACGGCTGCCACCACCGTCTATGGTGGCTTTTCCATAGGTGCTAAAATATTCCACACTTCTTATTAAAGACAGTGCCGGTGGAGACGGGCGGGGGTGGCAAGTGTGAGCCACCCCGCTGCCGGGGCCGACGGGCCTGGGGTGGCCGGGGCACGGCACCCCGGGGGCACAAGGACAGCAAGAGGCTGGTGGCATCCTCCATGCAATGTCCTCATATCCCTCCCAATGGCCCCGGTCGTGCCGGCTGCCTCTCAGCTGTGCCAGGGTGCCACGCCATGCACAAGGTGCAGCTATTCATCCTCTTGCTGCCTAGGCTGAGGGAAACACGGAGAGGTCTTCAGGGGAGCCGGCGACGAGGAGCGAAAGGCAGAGAGGGTGAAACCCAACCTGAAGTTGAGGGGGCTGCAGGGGTGTGCAGGTGCCTGGTGGCTTCACCTGCCCGGGGAAGGAGCAAGATATCTCAGCAGCATCTTCATCCCTTTACTGCACAGAGGGGAAAGGCCTGTTGTGGTGCCAGAGGGCCAGTACGTTTTCTGGTGGGGCATCCATGCAGCTCCCAGACAGTAGCTCTTGGGATGCAGCCCCACGGGCCCTGGGAACGGGTCTTTCGCAAGAGCAAGTCCCCCCCTGAACCTAAACAGGTCCCCATAGGGACGGCTGCAGAGGGGATGGAGGGAGCAGGCTGGCCCCTCTCCATCCAGGCACCATGGCTCCCCAGGACCCCTGGTTTGAGCAGCAGGGAGCAGCTGCGGTTGGGCTGGGGCAAGCTGGCCGGTGCAGGAGGCTGCCGTGCTCCCCATTCGCAGCTGCTCATCCATACAGAGAGCTGCTCAAAATACCCTCTGCTCCCCCTGGGGTGGCTTTGCCAGGTGAGAGCGGGCTGTGCTCGCTGTGGCGGTGCTCACTGATGCTGGCGGGGGATGGCGGTCCCTGCAGTGTGTTGTGCGAGTAGGCATCCATGTGCCAGAGGATCTTGGGATGATTTTGGGAGGGAGGGTCATGACTGGGATTGGGACCCAGAGGGCACTCAAAAAGTGGTTTTTTTGATCTTTTTTAACTTTCAGGCAGAGGCCTTAATGTTGGAGATGGCAGATGAGACACTGAGATGGAAACCATGCCCATGGACCCTGCTGGCCTGGTGCAGGGCGGTCCCTGGGAGCCTGTGCCTACAGCCGCTGCCTGCAGCGTCAGGGGTGTCTGCAGCCTCCAGCTTCCCCCCTGCATGAAAGGGGCAGCTTCACTGCTGCAGGGTCCCCCGGCCCCTTGCTTTGCCACCAAGAAATGACCTCTTCAAGTTCCTGAGATGCTGCCA